CGGGTGAGGTTGGTGCTCTGTAAACCGCGTGCGCGAATGAGTATAATCTGGCTGTTTGGAAGCTGACAATACAGCGCTTCCATTCCGCCACTAATATTCGAACATACAATAGCGATCTTATCATTTTTTTTATCACGTGTAGTATAGAAATTTGTAATAAGATACATAATGTGGTTATAATAAAATATTGTGCGATTATTTTCATATAATTAAAATTAATATTTATTTATTTTTTAGAGAATACGAGGGAAGCGGCGCTTCCAACGCTTCTAATGACAGCACGCCACTGTTAAATATAACTTCATAAAAAAACATACATAAAAATAACAAAATATTCTTTACTTTTTAAATCTCAAAACAATCCACTTCCCTACAAGTGGTTAATGGATGGAATCAGAGTAGGTTGCAGTGCTTACATACACGTGGACTGCCAAATCCCCAGGGTGCCAATACTGGTCAATGTCAAATACCTCTTTTGTTGCATCACTAGTATATCTCAAAGGATGCGACAGGGTTGTTGTAAATTTTAAACATTTCTCATCATAGCTGTAAAAATCTAAATATGTTAAACTCAATAGTCATTTGTTTTCTAACTAATTTGTTTTAGGACCAGGTGTCCACAGAAATTTCCAAAATTTACAACTTTTCGGTCACTCTCATTGAACTGGAAAAATTTCTGTCTTTATTACATCTAATATTACGAAGAAATCAGTCCCCATTATACTCGGCTAGAGATTGGTTCAGTTAAGCTTTTGTTTAAGTAATATTCTGGCTCTTTCAGCAGGGTTTTATTTATGTCGCCGATTCCCTAATCTCTTAATTATTTAACTACTTCTTAAGTAGAAATAAGTCGAAACCGGTTACTTTGTACTTGAATATCTGTAGTCTCGGGAAAGAAGTGGCAAGACAAATTTTTATGACGATACATAAATCATAAATTTAAGGAAAATAAATTCTAGAGCTTTTTCTGTACCTTGTGCATCTCTCTCATTCATTAAATTTAGTTGTAAATGATGCTACCAAAGTAACAGTTAATTTTTTAACATTGCACAAGAATTGTACACGTTTTTTTCTACGACCTGTTATAGATGGGACATACGAAATCGTAATATCACTGGTTTAACATTGAAATCCGTGAGTAATATAAAATCAGAGAGCGGAATAAAAATATCAAATATTTTAATGGATTTATTTTTAACTCCTGTCAACTATACAGAACTATCATAAAAACATACCAGTAAATTTCTATCGGTTGGGTTAAGTTATAAATCTACTTGCGATTCACATAATTGGGTGAGGGCGGCCAAATATCTAGCAGGAAGGCGGCTAACAGCCCATAACCAGTCCTGGATAGAATCATTGGAAACGTGTGTGTTACTTCCACTGCAAGGTTGGTGCTCTGTAAAGCGCATGTGCAAATGTGTATAATCTGGCTGTTTGGAAGTTGATCCAGTTTCAACAATACAGTGCTTCCATTCCACCACTGATATTCGAATATACAATAGCAATCTTATCGTCTTTTTCACATGTAATATAGAAATTTGTAATAAGATACATAATGCGGTTATAATAAAATAGTAATTTTAATTAATCCAAAATACGTTAAAATATGAAAATAATTGCACAATATGTATTTATTTTTTAAAAAATACAAGGGAAGCGGCACTTCCACTGCTTCTAATGATGGCACGCCACTGGGTTTATCCATATTCCTGGACAGATATGGGGCATTGTTTGAAATAGTTATTTACTATGCAAATAACTATTTATTTTATCCTATGCTTTAAGAATTATTTATGAAATTTTGTAGTTACATTCCTTTTATTTTTATCCTGAAAACTATTTTAAAATATAAGATATCTTGCATGAATCTAATCATTGCTAAAAATAATTAATAGCGAGGTTGTGGCTGACATTTTCATCTCTAAAACATAAACGTCGAGCGCTGCTTGCAAGATAGCAGCGCTCGACGTTCACATTTTAGAGATGAAAACGTTGGCCGCAACCTGGCTAATGATATCACTATAATTACTTTCTGGTAGTTAAATGGAATGAAAGTTTATTAATGATGTAAAGCCAAACAACCACCAGATTACATCAGGCTCTTTACAAATTTTTTGGGTTTCTTGATGATTGTTTATGTTTATTAATGATATACTAAAAAGATCTGTTTATTAACTTAGATAGAATACTGTTCACTATTTTTACCTTGTTTGCAAGTTGCGTAGACAATAATTAAACCAGTGAATATACAAATATTAACATCTGTAAGCCCAATAGTTATATTAAAGCCAAACAATCCTAATTTTTCTAAATCAGTTCTAATCTGACAATTGTTTGGTTTTAATGTAGTGAATATGTTGTTTTTTTGCATTTCTAATAAGAAACATGTAAAAAAGTAAAATGAAAACTGTAACAGGAGAAAAATTTTACAGCATATAGTACACAATTTTTATCCAAAAAATACTCAAAAAATTGCCCTGCATCTTATTTCTCATAAGCTAGTGAATTCCCCAAATGGCCTTCAGTGTGTTACAGCTTACTTCTACCTAGTCCTCTTGAATAAAAATATTATTCAAGAGGAATATATTATTACTAGCTGTTACTCGCGGCTTTGCCCATGCTGATTTTGCAAGCAAACCTCATTTATATTCAGTATTTCAACAACCATAGTAATTGTTATATAACACCTACCGCTGAGAATGATGAGAATTGCCGAGAATCAAACAAACTATTTTCAATTTGATCAATTTTCTGGAACGTTTACAATCGTTCTATAATCGAATCAATATGCAATAACAAATTCAAATTTAAAATGGTTCGAACATTTTTAAAATTGAAATATATAAAAATATTTATAACAATGTCTGAAATGTTATTAATTTAATACACCTAAGTACTCGATGAAGACTAAATCCGCTCCTTCTCCCCCACGGGAAAATTTCGAAAAATTCCTTCTTAGTGTGCATTGCCATGGCATACCCTACTAAAACGCAGATAAAAACAAAAAATCGCATCTAAAATAGTGCAGTAGAAGCCGTTGTTCCAGTTAAGCCTTAGTCCTCCCCTCTCCCCCTGCGGGGGAATTTCGAAAAATCCCTTCTTAGTGAGCGTTTCAGTGACGTACCCTAACTGTCTACCAAATTTCACCTCTTTAGGTTAAGCGGTCTGCTCTGGGCGATGATGAATCAGTTAGTGAGTCATTCAGTCAGTCAGGACAAGCAATTTTATATATTTAAATTATTAATTTTAATTATTTAAAAACAATTATTGTAAACATTAAAGTTGAATAATGTGAGACTATTATTGATCAGTCATTCATCATACGCACCAACTCTTCAAAATTAAGCAGTAACCTTTTTCCTTGATAAATAAAGTGTAAATACTAATTTACTTTTTTAAAAATCAGAATACAGTAAAAAACTTTTGGGGCTGAGTACCAAAAACATGGGATGGCTTAAATACACTAAATATCTTTTTCTAAGTATTAGCAAGGTTACGGCCAACATTTTCAATGCATAAAGTTGCACATTCAGCGCCACCATCCTGTAAGCCTAGAAGTTTGACAATGGCGTTTAGAATGTTGAGCATGATTCCACTGACGTTCCAAACGCCATTGTCAAACTTCTAGGCTTACAGGATGGTGACACTGAACATCCGACTTACACGTTTTTTCATTGAAAACGTTGGACGCAACCTCGCTATTCTATGCCGAAATGGAGGTGGTGTCTTATATTCTGTAAACAAACTTTTACAGAAAAAAATGTAGATAATCTAAAAAAACAGCATTTTTTAAAAACTATACATTAAGAATCATTTGTTTATTGTGACATTATTATTATTTAATATAGTATATAATGTATAATTATTCATGTAATATAATAAATTAACTATTTATAATACAGTATTTTTTTTATTTTAGAATTTAAAAAAATGATTTCTTCAAGACTTTGTAAATTAAATCTATTAAGATCTTTAATGGCTGCTCAACATTGTCAAAGAAATACCCGACTTTTACACCAAACGAAAGTCTCTTGTAGTGGTGGTCTTTTTGTTCATCGTGATACTGATGAAAATAATCCAAATACACCATTTGAATTCACTGAAGCAAATCTGAAAAGAGCTAAAGCCATAATGAGCATTTATCCTACAGGACATCAAGCTGCTGCTGTTATTCCATTGCTAGATTTGGCTCAGAGACAACATGGATGGCTTCCAATATCAGCAATGCATAAAGTTGCGGAGATTTTAGACATGCCTCGTATGAGAGTATATGAAGTGGCAACATTTTATACAATGTTCAATAGAAATCCAGTTGGAAAATATCATGTACAGGTTTGCACAACCACTCCTTGCATGTTAAGAGGTGCTGAAGAAGTGTTAGAATGTGTAAAAAATAAATTAGGTGTTAAGGAAGGAGAAACAACAAAGGATGGAATGTTTACTGTAAATGTTGTTGAATGTTTAGGAGCATGTGTTAATGCTCCTATGATTCAAGTTAATGACGATTATTATGAAGATTTAAGTTTGAAAGATGTGGAGGAAATTTTAGATGATTTGAAAGCAGGTAGAACTCCAAAGGCAGGACCAAGAAATGGTAGGTTTGCTTCTGAACCTGCAGGTGGTCTGACATCTCTCACAGAACCACCAAAAGGACCAGGGTTTGGATTGCAACCTGGCCTATGAATATCCTTATTAATGTATTTATATTTAAAATACAAAATGATGATTAAATTTAGAGTTTGTTCGATATTTGAAGAAAGACAGAAACTGTACAAGTTGTAAACTAAAAGAAATAATTAAACTATATTGATCAGTCATTTTTGAAATTTGTATGTTATTATATTTGTTTGAATTCAAGTACATTTCATTTAAATTTCAGTATGTTATAGTGTATTATAATAATTTATGTTCTAAATTCAGTCAGTTACATTAGGAATATACAGATATGTGTTGCTTAATGATGGTGATACATTCTGAGAAATACATCAAGTGAACATTATAGAGTGTACTTTGATAAATGTTATATGGTACAGTCTACCATTCATATAAATTACATATAACACAATGATAAATATTTATATATCTAAACCAGGGATGTGGAGCTGGTAGACAACCCTCCCTGATTTCAAATCCAACTCTGATTCATAGAATTTCAAAAGGTCCCAACTGCTGCCTCTAAATACCTTATTTCCTTGATTAAATTGCAGGAGAGTTATTTTTAGAATATATGTATTCCCTGAGTTTTTTCAAGGCCGGGGTTTATTACCTTGCAACAGAAGATGAATGAGTAAAAATTGAAAGAAATAATACCTTAATTACTGGTACATTTTCTGAACTATCAAAATCATTTATTGACACATTATCATTTACAGCTACATTTGAAATAATTATTATTTTCATAGTTAACCTGATTCAGCATCTTTCAGTTCAGTTATTACTTTGTCATTCATGTCTGATTTGATGATGATGTAGGAATCAAGATCTTGACTACCATCTTCTGGTTCAAACTCACCATCTCTTTTGGAAAGAGGTGAATTTTAACCAGTTTTGGCTGATAAGATCTGTTTATGAACTCAATCGTGACACACTCAATATTCAACAATATTTATAATTTTATTTCAAAACAATGTTTCTCTGAATGTTGAAATAGAAAGTGCTGTCAGACAATTTGAAGAGGTAGAATATTAGCTAAACCAGCGTTTCTCAACCTTTTTTGGCCCGCGGACCATTGGTGTTTTTTCAAAAAACTTTACTATATATTAAAGAATTACTACAGAAGTAAATTGTAAAATTATTATTATCATTTATACATCATAAAATTTTTATTTATTAAATTATCATTATTTTTTTGAAAAAGAAAATTTTTAACACAGAGCGGTAAAAATTCTCCACAAACCGGCGGTTGAGAAACGCTGAGCTAAACTACATTGTTCTATTCAGTGCAGTACTTCAACATGTTTCCTGTGGTTTTCAACCTGGAGTTTATTTTTAACAGAACTTTTATTTCCCAGGGTTTAATTGAAGTATGGTAATTAGTTAGAATATACTTTCATTACGTTAACCTAGTATGCAGTGGCATGCAGTGACATTTGACCATAGGGAAGCTGTGCTGGCCCTGGATAAGTTAAGTATAAAGTTAAGTAGAGGGCTGTCTATTCAAGGCAGACTTAGCCCTATAGTAAGGAAAAGAAGTGAGAAGAAAAGTGAAAATAACTAGATTAAGAAAGAAAAGGAGGTTAAGGAAGGCAAGGGTGGAGATCCATGGGCATCGGCACCGCATTTATTAAAAACAGAAATAGCTACATTGCCTACATTGGCAATAATAACATTGGCTACATTGCCTAATACAGATTACAGTATTTACATAGTAATTGATCCTAATATATTTATAGAAAACAAATGGTTACAATAGTTTATACAACAGTCAGATTACAGAATAAACAAAAAAATTTTTAGTAGTTTTACAGAAAACAGCAACTTGGTTACATGGCTAAAAAATAAAGTATTAACCTTAATGATCAATTTACATTTTAAAAATACAAATATTAAAACAAAAGGTTACCATGGTTACAATTCCTTATAAAAAATATAAAATTTTCAAAGATGAATTTACTACTGTATTTTAGATACAATGACTAATAACAATGTGAACATTACAAAATGGGCAATTACATTACAAAAGTGAAAACAAGTGGCTACAATGCCTAACAGAGAAACAGTATTTACATGGTGGCCTGTTCATTTCAGAGTTCATCTTCACTATTGGTGAAACTTTCATCACTGATATCCTTGCTTGTATTGTCCTCAGAATCAGGTAGGTTATTCCTGGTCTGTGATTGTTCACTGCTTTGTGAAGGGATTGTTAGTTTCCCAGTGTTTTTGATGAATTCGATGAGATGACACAAGAAGTCCTTGTTGTTGAATATGTCATTTTCCTGTGGAGGTGCTGGCACTGGATAGAAGCATTGGAAATGTTATACAATATTTTGGTGTGTAGCATTCACAAGCTAAACCATGTGAGGTTCGTGCTCTGTAAAGTGCATGCACGAATGCGTACAATCTGACTGCTTTACACCATTCAGATATTTTCACCGTGGAAACTGTCCCGTATTCGACAATACAGTGCTTCCATGGGGAATATGCATATATTTGAATATACAATAGCAATCTTATCATTTTTTTCACATGTAGTGTAGAAATTTGTAATAAGATACATAATGTGGTTATAATAAAATANCTTCCATGGGGAATATGCATATATTTGAATATACAATAGCAATCTTATCATTTTTTTCACATGTAGTGTAGAAATTTGTAATAAGATACATAATGTGGTTATAATAAAATATTAATTTTAAGTAATTTAAAGTATGTTAAAATATGAAAATAATCACATAACATGTATTTATATTTTAGAAAATACAAGGGAAGAGGTGCTTCCACAGCTTCCATGGATGGCATGCCACTGCTAGTATGGCATTTTATCACTACCAAGTGAATCATCAGACATTGCTATTTAAACCACTGAAAGTAATTTTTTTTTTAACAGAGTTTTTCATTATCATCTCTATCATCATCAACCATATAATGATACACAGAATGTTTTTCATTTGGTATTACGATAAAGTGTTCAAAAATACTAATTTTAATTTAACCTGAGTCTTCTTAATTAAACATTTTACAGTAGACCCCCTATAATGCTTAGATACGTTCCACGTTATTCAAATTTTACGTTGTAGGAATCCTTAAATACATGAGCCAATCGCAACCCGACACGTGTGAAGTTTACAGACTACGGCTGTTTGAAAGGTTTTCTTCCATAAAATTAATTGATTCTAGACTAATTCGACTCAACATTTCCAAAACACGTATAATTTTTTGGGAATGATCCATATAAACTATGCTATAAACAAAAAATTGTAGGATTACTTACCTAGTGTGCACCGTTTGACATCGCCATTGCTTAAGCTTGTTTTTGTCGCGGAGCAGCGCACCAAACGGCGGCCGCGATTTCTGATAAGTTATTTTTCTGCGAAAAATTCGTTGAACTTTGGAGACATCATTAATATAAATAATTTTAATGGCCGTTGAATAAGAAATGTTTCTTTCACAAGAAATGTATAAAATTAGTGCTGTATTAGACTTACGGTACCTAATTTACATACTGTACAGACGATAGTAAACTCAACTTACTCGCCTAAACTCTCCGTAGCGTGGCGCTGGATGGCGAAAAGTATATATATAATTATAATAAAGTTACAATAAATTAAGTTAATATATAATTATATATACAGTACCTAATTTATATATACTGTAATTAATATATACTGAATACAATGAGAGATAGTGCTGATTGCACCTTACAAGCAAAAAGGTATACAATTATAGGTAAGGTGCATGATGCCGGAAAGAATACAGTTTGAAACCAGAATTAGGAATGTAATACACATTGTGGAATTACATTGAAGAGTGCGGTTTGCACTTAACAGGGTTGAAATCCGAGTAAATTTAACAAAACCAACTCGCGGCGGAGATGGGCTGAAAGTACAGGAGGCAATGTGCTTCCAGATAATTAATATGTATAATTATATGTACAGTACCTAATTTATATATAATACTGTACAGACGATAGCAAACTCAATTTACTCGCCTAAACTTTCCGTAGCGTGGCGCTGGACGGCGGAAAGTAGTTCGGCTGCTCATCCACTATTGGTCCAGATTCGACCAATCTTGTCGCGACATGAGTCGCCGACGACATTTTACGAGTCCCTTTATACGAATACTGCCGCAATTTTTTCGCTACGTTATAGGAATTTCCGTTATAGGGGGGTCGACTGTATATGGGTTTTTGACAGTTGAAATTTAGAATTAGTTAACACATTGTATTTAAATATAAATTTCTGAAAATGAAACATTAATAATTGATATACAAAAAAAAAATCATAATATAGGGGGAATCGCCATAAAATAAGGTCTTGCATTACAGGAGACATTTATAATGCGAAATAGCAGGTTATTAACCCCTCAGTTCCCGATCAACTTTTAATTAAACATAAAAAATACTTAAAACTGTAAAAAAACGGAAGAAATGTGTTAATTTTGAAGAAAAAGCTTCAAAGTTTAACTTCCTTTGTCTCGCCTTTCTGTGAAATTTGACACTGATGAGTCATTGTTTACACAGCTGGATGACCTTGAGAACAGCTGGTGTTGGAATTTCCGGGACATTCTCATAGACGTCTCGGGTGGACAAGGGTTTAAAGTAGGGTGAATACTAGCTAGACCTATATTTTTAAAAAAATAAAATTTTTATTGCGATTTCCGACCCCCGACTTAATTAAATTTATATATAATAAAATCTATTAATTAAAAAAATTAAAAAACTATCGGAGGTCGTTTTTGACATCAGAAAGCAGCTTTAAATAACTTTACCGAAGGAAAATCGGTGCGCTACAACNTGTTTCTTTCACAAGAAATGTATAAAATTAGTGCTGTATTAGACTTACGGTACCTAATTTACATACTGTACAGACGATAGTAAACTCAACTTACTCGCCTAAACTCTCCGTAGCGTGGCGCTGGATGGCGAAAAGTATATATATAATTATAATAAAGTTACAATAAATTAAGTTAATATATAATTATATATACAGTACCTAATTTATATATACTGTAATTAATATATACTGAATACAATGAGAGATAGTGCTGATTGCACCTTACAAGCAAAAAGGTATACAATTATAGGTAAGGTGCATGATGCCGGAAAGAATACAGTTTGAAACCAGAATTAGGAATGTAATACACATTGTGGAATTACATTGAAGAGTGCGGTTTGCACTTAACAGGGTTGAAATCCGAGTAAATTTAACAAAACCAACTCGCGGCGGAGATGGGCTGAAAGTACAGGAGGCAATGTGCTTCCAGATAATTAATATGTATAATTATATGTACAGTACCTAATTTATATATAATACTGTACAGACGATAGCAAACTCAATTTACTCGCCTAAACTTTCCGTAGCGTGGCGCTGGACGGCGGAAAGTAGTTCGGCTGCTCATCCACTATTGGTCCAGATTCGACCAATCTTGTCGCGACATGAGTCGCCGACGACATTTTACGAGTCCCTTTATACGAATACTGCCGCAATTTTTTCGCTACGTTATAGGAATTTCCGTTATAGGGGGGTCGACTGTATATGGGTTTTTGACAGTTGAAATTTAGAATTAGTTAACACATTGTATTTAAATATAAATTTCTGAAAATGAAACATTAATAATTGATATACAAAAAAAAAATCATAATATAGGGGGAATCGCCATAAAATAAGGTCTTGCATTACAGGAGACATTTATAATGCGAAATAGCAGGTTATTAACCCCTCAGTTCCCGATCAACTTTTAATTAAACATAAAAAATACTTAAAACTGTAAAAAAACGGAAGAAATGTGTTAATTTTGAAGAAAAAGCTTCAAAGTTTAACTTCCTTTGTCTCGCCTTTCTGTGAAATTTGACACTGATGAGTCATTGTTTACACAGCTGGATGACCTTGAGAACAGCTGGTGTTGGAATTTCCGGGACATTCTCATAGACGTCTCGGGTGGACAAGGGTTTAAAGTAGGGTGAATACTAGCTAGACCTATATTTTTAAATATTTTTAAAAAAATAAAATTTTTATTGCGATTTCCGACCCCCGACTTAATTAAACTTATATATAATAAAATATATTAATTAAAAAAAATTAAAAAAACTATTGGAGGACGTTTTTGACATCAGAAAGGAGCTTTAAATAACTTTACGGAAGTCAAATCCGTGCACTACAACTTTAGAACGATTAATTAAATTTGATAAAAAAATTGCATTAAAAAACAATTAAGCGTTAATCGCGCGTCATTAAAGGTTGATTAAAATCGCGATAAAATTTTTTTGCACGGGTAAAAATTTTTGAAAAAATTTGGAGACAAAAAACATTCCAAAAATCAAAAAAAATTTCAAGCTTAATTAAAACTCGCTAATTTGGCAATTCGTTTAAGATTTTCTATTATTATTATTTGGGTATTTTGAAGTCTGTATACTTGAACTAATAACATGAAAGAAAATTCAAATAATAAATTACAATTGCCTTATATATATAGAAAAATATTAAATAATTGACGTTTATTGCATTTTTTAAAACACGACATTTAATCTTTCCTGTTACGGTGGCGCCACTGTCAAGAACAAAGAGGTGTGGCGCTTTTATCGCCACATAATCGTTTCCAATCAAAACCACGTGTCTGTGTTTTTCTAATGGTATCGTTCGTCTCGTCTATCAGAAGACCTTGGTTTAAGTATATTGCGAAACTTATAGATAATACGGGTCGACGTTGCACGCGGAGAAAGGTCGATCTCTTTCTTAATCGTATCGTTAACGTAAGCTTAACGCAATCCTTTCGTAGTAATAGTATTCAAGTTTACGATTTAATAGAAGTAGAATACGAAGAAGTAATGGGTTCCGTCGATAATGCCAAGATTTTATCCGGAAGACAAGTCTCAAAGTACGTAAGCCTTGTAATTACTGTATTTTCTAAAGCATTCTCACGTTTCATTCTAGTTTTACGTAATTGTTATGTATACAGGATTTCCTGTTATTAACATATCATAGATTAAAAATAAATTATTATTTGAGAAAGAACAAATAAATAAATACCAAATTTTTGTTTTATTTTTAGAGAAATACAAGAGAATCTTGCTGAAGAAGTAAAAAGCATCAAAGCAAAATATCCAGACTTTAACCCAACGCTTGCCATTGTTCAGGTTATACGGTTACATCAATAATTAACTTTTAAAAACATTTGCAAATATTTTTTCAATTGAACATATATTTACAGGTAGGTGGAAGAGAAGATTCCAATGTTTACATTCGTATGAAAACGAAGGCAGCGGCCCAAGTTGGTGTAGATGCACAGCACATAAAATTTCCTAGGACCATTACAGAAGATGATGTAAGCAGAAATTATTAGTAAATTATATAAACAGATCTATAATATTTAGATGGATTTTAATAGCATTAAAAATAACAAGTAATAGATAAAAATTTAACAATTTAGCAATTCATTTAAATGAAAAATATATATAGTAGATTTGTAGACTGGTAGAATAAGTTGCATTCTAATATTAAAAAATTGATAAAGTTACATAACCAATGTTGTTATCATTTAATATCTGCTTTATTATTGAAATAAATTGATAATGATAATTTTGCAACTTTCAGTTAATCAAAGAATTGAATAAATTAAATAATGATCCAGCAATTCATGGGATTATTGTTCAGGTAAAAGATAAAAATGTGATAAATAAAAATTTATAATTAACAGATTAATAAGATATTGAAAATATTTTAAGCTTCCATTAGATTGTGATAAACCAATTGATGCAAATCTAATTACTAATACCATTGATCCTGATAAAGATGTAGATGGGTTTGTTTTTTTCCTTTTTAACTATAATAAAAATGTATGATTCAAAATTAATCTGACTTTTTCTAATTCATAGCATTCATGATGTTAATGCAGGAAAACTAGCACATGGACAACTGGAAGGTTTCTTCGTAGCTTGTACTCCTTATGGATGTCTTGAACTTATTAAAAAATCAGGTAATTTTTGTATAAGTAACAGATATATATATAATTCAGATAATATATATAATTCCTGAATTATATATATATCTGTTACAAAAATTTTTATCTATATATATAAAAATAAATGTATGTCTGTCTGTGTGTCTGTCTTATGTCCTTCATGCATTACCACACCGTTTATCCGATTGCCGTGAAACTTTGGGAAGTTGTTTAATATTCTCCGGTGAAGGTTTGTGGCATAGTACGATTGCCATAAAACTTCGGAAAGTTTTTTAATACACTCCCGAGAAGGTTTTTGGCAGAGTACATTTATCCTACGATAGATGGCGCGTGTTTACACGAGCATTCGAGCACAGTGTGTTCGATCGATTTCAAATTGTGAAGACCATTTCTCCCTTCAAAAAATGTATGCATTTGTGAACTGTTATTTACGATATTCGTAATAATGTTTTTTTAATAACTTTATTTCAACTTTTTTTTGCTAATTACGTATTCGCTCGAACTTTGTTAAAACTTTAACTGTATACCGAACAACAACCGAAGTTGTAGAAGGAAATTCGCCTATTTTACCGATCTAGGGATCCCCTTTTCCAAATTTTAATATCATCTAATAATTTAAAAAGACAAATTACAATAAAACGGTTTATTATCCAACTATCAGAAATTTCACAACATGCCAAGGAAGAGAGGAAGGAGCAATTAAATAATTAAAATTATAAAGGATTTAAAAATATATATAAAAATGGGGAATATCGCACTTCTGACAATCGCAGCGAGTGTGTGGGCTAAATTTGGAGAATCCGTGCTTCTCGCATGGACAACTGTATGTGGCCGGCTCACGCGTCGAAAAACCTTCCGATTTATTCGTGTACGCACCAGACGGAAAAACAAAAAATATCGTGTATCCACAAAGCACTCCAAAAATAAATAAAATTGAACGACACTTTGAAATGTTTTCCCGATGAAAATGAATAATAATAATAAGTTTCAATAAAAATAATAAAATGTAAATTGAATTTTATCGTAACGAGTTTGCTTGAATTTCCTTTCTTCTGAGATCGCAGCAATGCGTGACGGGTAAGCTAGTTATTTAATAAAAATCAAAACAATATTTCCTTATTGTAGTTAGCTAGCTTTAAAATTAGCATGTTACTTAATAATTACAGATGAAAATAAAATTAATGAATTAAAATTATTAATGGTTGGCTAGTAGATCTGAAAAATATATTTAAAGTGCTTGTTAAAGCTACTTATATTGGGAAAAGTCTTATAATTACATCATTAGGTAGATTGATTTTCAAAATAAAACATTATGTTACATAACAATAATGCATTACTATGTGGACAGACAAAATTATTTAGATACTAGCAGACCTTGCCACGCGTTGTGGCTCAAAATGTATCTATTATAAATGTATAACACTTCCCCCATGGGGGGGAATTTTTCGAAAAATTTCTTCTTAGTGTATATTTTCTTGACGTACCCTATTAAAACGCAATCAAAAACACAAAAACCCGCATCTAAAATAATATAATAGAAGCCAAGTTCTTCATGGTAAGCCTTAATTCTGTCTCTCTCCCCCGCAGGGGAATATCGAAAAATCCCTTCTTAGTGTACATTCTGTTGACGTACCCTATTAAAACGCAAAAAACTGCATCTAAAATAGTATAAATAGAAGCAGAGTTCTTTATGGTAAGCCTTAATCCTAACCATCTCCCTTCAGTGGGAGGAATTTCGACACATATATTATATAAAAACACGTGCGTATTCGAATGCAGCGTTGTGTCAAAATTTCAAAGGAATTGGTAGGAACAAACATTACATTTTTATTTATATAGATAGATAGAAGATGATCCACTTTAGTTCATTTTCACAGAAAAGCAAACTTAGGGCGTCGTACTCGTAGTACCATCTGTTGGACATAAAAGCCTTAACCTAGATTATATATTTTAATTTATATGAATGTTTAATGGAATAATATACAGCCTATGTCCACCCTGAGGTTTCATTCTAAATATTGGTGAAAGAATTTTTGAAATCGGATGAGTAGTTTCGGAGATTACCTGCTGCAAACAAACTTACTTACATACATACAAACATTACCTCTTTATAATATTAGTAGAGATATCTTCAAAGAAAAATTTAAATGATTTTATTTTCCATTGTAGAGAACTATTTCTATTTAAAAAAATAATCAAAATGTCCAAAATAATTGAGATGAATATAAGCTACTGATTTATGTCATCTTTCTGTGATGATTTTATTTTCTTAAAAACGTTTTGATTCATTTATTTTCATTTTAAAGAATTAAACAACTTTCTTTGGAAAAATTTTTAAAATTTAAATGCAGAAACTATTCTATCCACAGCACCGGGATGAAAATGACATCACACTATCGGAACCTGTGACCGGTGCTCCGTGCGTATATGTTAAAATATCCTGACAAACGTTTTCGAGCGTTCCAATCGCTCTTCTTCAGGTCAGCTGAAAGAATTCCCCGGACGGAGTGTATATTATTCTCTAGGATCGGGTGTCGGTTTCGAGGGGGTGGGTCTCTTCCGGTGTGTGCGATCGTGCGGCGGAGGGAGGAAGCGGTGGGTTGGCGTCCAATAGCGATTGCCAGGCCAGAGACAAGGTTAGTTCCTCCTTCCGGTTAATGCAGGTAGTTAGCCGGTCGGCGTTGTGGATAGCCGTGGCTTCCAGCCATCTAAGCTGCTGTTGGTGGGGCGTGTTGACAATAATGGTAGCCTTCTGGAAGTGTACCTCGACTTCGGGGTCGGATGCATAAGTGGCTAGGGCTGTGGTCAGCCTCCCGTGCCAGATATCCGCTCGGTGTTCACGTAGGCGGGTGTTTAAAGAGCGTTTGGTTGAGCCGATGTACAGTAGCTCTGCATTTTGTCTATTGTCATGGAGCGGGATAGAGTAGATACCGGGGAGTCTGGTGCGATCGGGAGGGTCTTTATCGTTCCTTAGGATGCGGAAAATCGTGGGGCATCTTCTGTATGCCAGTCGAATCCCATGCTCTTTGGCTATTCTTCTATGTATAGTCTTGAGGTGCGGGTTGTATGTGATGGGGATCCGTGTCGGGTTATCCTTTTGCGGGTCGGCGGCGGTCGCTGCGGTTAGGGTGCATTTCCGGTGCTGGTACTGTTCAATTAAGTGGTGCGTTATGTTCGGGAAGCCGTGAACAGTTGCTATTTTTTTGATGCGGTCTAGTTGAACAGTACCAGCACCAGAAACGCACCCTAACCGCAGCGACCGCCGCCGACCCGCAAAAAGATAACCCGACACGGATCCCCATCACATACAACCCACACCTCAAGACTATACATAGAAGAATAGCCAAAGAGCACAGGATTCGACTGGCATACAGAAGATGCCCCACGATTTTCCGCATCCTAAGGAACGATAAAGACCCTCCCGATCGCACCAGACTCCCCGGTATCTACTCTATCCCGCTCCATGACAATAGACAAAATGCAGAGCTACTGTACATCGGCTCAACCAAACGCTCTTTAAACACCCGCCTACGTGAACACCGAGCGGATATCCGGCACGGGAGGCTGACCACAGCCCTAGCCACTTATGCATCCGACCCCGAAGTCGAGGTACACTTCCAGAAGGCTACCATTATTGTCAACACGCCCCACCAACAGCAGCTTAGATGGCTGGAAGCCACGGCTATCCACAACACCGACCGGCTAACTATCTGCATTAACCGGAAGGAGGAACTAACCTTGTCTCTGGCCTGGCAATCGCTATTGGACGCCAACCCAACGCTTCCTCCCCCCGCCGCACGACCGCACACACCGGAAGAGACCCACCCCCTCGAAACCGACACCCGATCCTAGAGAATAATATACACTCCGTCCGGGGAATTCTTTCAGTTGACCTGAAGAAGAGCGATTGGAACGCTCGAAAACGTTTGTCAGGATATTTTAACATATACGCACGGAGCACCGGTCACAGGTTCCGATAGTGTGACGTCATTTTTAAAATTCATATTTTCTTTAAACAAAAAAAAATATATGTTTTCTTAACTATCATTCAGGCAATATAAAGTAAACATGAGAAATAGATAAGAGTATGATAATGGTAGATTGTTCAGTAGATTACCTGTTTCTTCTATTGTATTTTTTGTAATGTAATTTTTCAACATTGCATAATGTTTATATTACATTAAATATACAGGCAATCACTAAGTTATATTAATAACTTAGTGATTGCCTGTATGTACATTTTATTCTCAGAAAATTTATGCCAATTAAGACAAACTAATTGGTATGAATCTTCTGAGAATAAAACTTTCACCTGCAATGATCAAAAACTACCATAAAATTAAATAGAATACAATTAAATCAAATCACTATTTAATTTTGTATTGAAAAGCTTCTATTATAGAACAGCATATTAGATTATTACAGTAAATCTTATTTTACAAATTACCAGAAACATTACTAGGATTTTTATTCTGGGAAGGCAGAGGTAGTGCAGGTGTGATCTACACATTTTAGCATCAAACAAACCAATTTTTAAAATTTAGTGAGGCCATAATTACTTGGCAAACATATTTAAAGAAACCTAATAATGGTCAGTGTAAGTAGACTTGAATTATTTCAGAGTGTAGTGCTGTGCTATCCTTGCAAATTTCAACTAGCTCAATAAAGTTTCTGAATGTTCTCTTTCATTGCTGCTAAATGCAAAATAGAAATTTGAAATAGAATCTATATTCCTCATAGAAAATCTCTTGTTGCTTATACCTTTGACCAGTAAAGGGAAATAAAGCTATTGAAATTCAAGTAGTGCATTAAGAATCAGTTATTTACAAAAAAGATTCCTTGTATATTGGATCAGGAAAGTTTATACTACTACTAAGGATCCTCATCTTTTGTAAATTTCAACAAAAAAATAGGCATATTCAGAGAAGGCTGAGAGAGGAACAGCTTCCTTTATATTTAGTTTTATGTACAATTATAATATAAACTTAAAAATATAGTCATTGAGTTATCATGCT